TGAACTCATGGGTTTATATTGTTAATTTTTTTATTATAAAAATTGCATAAATACAAAAATGAATAAAACACAATTTTATAGCATAACAAATAATTATAAAGTGACTATCTAGCTTTTATAACTCCTTTGCCTCCTTATCAAAATCAACTCTCAGGAAATTATCTCAATTTTAACACAATTTTAAATCAGTATGTCCTTTCACAGGTTTTTAAGTATAAGATTTACTTCCATTATGGAATTAAGCAGCCATATTTAGGATTTGGGATCTTCATCTTAAAACTAACAGGCAGCCATTGATCTGCTTTAAGCAGTGGAGTGACATGATCTGTATTATGTGATATGATCTGTGAGATGTATTATAATAAGATCACTCTGGGGGCGCCTGGGTGGCTCATTCGGTTAAGCGTCTGCCTTCCACTCAGGTCATAATCCCAGGGTCCTGGGATCAAGCTCCCTGCTCCATGGAGAGCCTGCTTCTCCCTCTCCCTCTCCCTCTCCTTCTCCCTGCTGCTCCCCCTGCTTGTGCTCTCTCTCTCTCTCTGTCAAATAAATAAATAAATAAAATCTTTAAAAAAAAATAAGATCACTCTGACTGTTGTGTGAGGACTGCACTGGGTGGGGGTAGGAGCAAGTGTATAAAAAATCTAAGAGGGTACTAAGGTTGTCCAGGCAAAAGATGATGTACTTACTAGAATGGAGGTAGTTGAGATGGAGAGAAAAGAACAAGATTTGAGAAAGATTTAGGAGGTAGACTTGACAGGACTTAGTGACTGATTCTACGGTGGTTAGAAAAGGAGAGGGAGATATCAAGAGTAATTCTCATTTCTGATTTGAGAAACCAGATGTATGCTGCTCCATCTACTGAGCCAGAGAACCTTGTAGGAGGTGCATGTTTAGAAGAAGATAACTAGTTCAATTTGGGATACCTGTGAGAAACCCAGCCAGAGACTAAGCTTACTACAGAATCTGGAACTAAGAGGAGTTGTTAAGAAGTGGGCGCCTGAGTGGCTCAGATGGTTAAGCCTCTGCCTTTGGCTCAGGTGCCCTGCTCCTTGGGAGCCTGCTTCTCCCTGTACCTCTCTCTCTCTCTCTGTCTCTCATGAATAAATAAATAAAATCTTTAAAAAAAAAAAGTTATGGACAGGGGCGCTGGGTGGCTCAGTTGTTAAGCACCTGCCTTCAGCTCAGGTCATGATCTCAGGGTCCTGAGATCCAGCCCCACATTGGGCTCCCTGCTCAGCGGGAAGCCTGCTTCTCCCTCTTCCCCTCCCCCTGCTTGTGTTCCCGCTCTCCCTGTCAAATAAATAAAATCTTAAAAAAAAAAAAAAAAGAAGTGATGGGCATATAAAAAGGATTTGAAGCCTTGGGAACGAAAGCACTTACCATCTTCTAGGAGTGACTAAGAGCATATAGAATAAAATGAGAAAAGAGTCTAGGACTGAACCTTGAGAAACTCGAACATTTAAAGATTGGGAAAGGAGGAGGAACCAGCAGAGACAGAGAAGAAACAAAAAATGTAGGAGGGAAACCCAGAAAATGTGGAGTTTCTGAGGACAAGGGAAGAAGGTGTTCCAAGAAAGAGATAATACATCAACTGTGACAAAGCTTATCACAGGTCAACAAGAACTAAAAGGTGTCCAGTGGATTTAGCAACAACCATGGAGGGCATTTGTTTTCAAGGAGTGGTAAGAGCAGAATCCAGATTGAATGGATTTAGGGATAAATAGGAGGTGAAGAAACAGGAAGAAAAAAGTGTTTGACAACTTTCTTGTTTCCTACATAGGCTATAATACATGGGGTCGTGCGGTGGAGTCTACAAAGCTCCTCTCCATATACCTACAAACTGATGCTGTCTCCTATATACACGTACTTGTTTTATTTCTTCAACTAAATTGGAAGACTCTAGGGCTGCCTGAGTGGCTCAGTCAGGTCATGATCTCCAGGTCCTGGGATCGAGCCCCGAATCAGGCTTCCTGCTCAGTAGTGAGTCTGCTTCTCTCTCTCTCTCTCCCTCTGCTCATTCTCTCTCTCAAATAAATAAATAAAATCTTAAAAAAAATGCCAACAATAAAG